GTCACAGTCATAGTCACACAGTCATAGTCACACAGTCACAGTCACAGTCACATAGTCACAGTCTCACAGTCACAGTCATAGTCACAGTCTCACAGTCACAGTCACAAGCCCACCTCCTCTTCCGACCTGCCTGCGCCACTGCAGAGCTGCAAACAATCGATAAAAGTGAAATCGTCGTCGCAGCTTCCGAAGGTGGAACGACCGATCGTCGACACGGCGCCCAGAATCTTACATCCTGCCCGAGACCCGAACAAACGATTCTATTCAACCCTGAAATCACATCCAGTTAACTCCAAGGACCGATATTATCGGCTCCGTGATTTTTGCCCTATCTCGATACTTCGAATATTTTTCGAACATTTGAATATTTCTCATCTTATCTTTTTACAGAATGTTTTTATCGAGCAGTTTTTTTTTTTAAAGTCGTACCATTTATTTACACATTGAGATATTTAAGCTTTCATTTGAATGAACTAAAAAATATTGCCAAACGTTGAGAAATAATGTTTTTGAAAGCTGTTGAATGTTTTAAACTCGTAATGTTTTTGAAACAAATTTTATATAATAATGATGGATAGAATCGTGAAAGAAAATATTACATTATAATAAAAAGCAGTATATAATTAATAATTAACATGATTAGAAAGTTGTTACAAATAGATTTATTTCACTTTCTATTGCCCAAGAGCCAATATTATTGGCTCCGCCAATTAAATTTTTGTCTTGTCTCAAGACACTTCGCACATTTGCAGTGTTTCGGCTCTTCTTGCTAATTATTTTTATAAGAGATATGTTTCTTCTAGTAAAAAAAGTAGCGTGATTTCTGCACGAACGTTTTGCAGTTCTAGACCAGGGTTCCTCGAACTTTTTCACTTGGCGACCGCCTTTACCCGAGCAAATATTTTCGAGATCCTTGTTTATGTAGAGATACATAAATTAAAATATCTGCTGATAATAAATCATAAAGAAAATTTATTCGAAAACAATTCTTTGGTATACATACGAACCATGTATCAAAGACAAAACCAAATATTCAGACTAATTTTTTTAGTTTCACTAAAATTTCTCCGATCGCCAAATTTAATTCATCCATATGGGATCACGATTCACATTTTGAGAAACCCTGTTCTAGACGATGCATAAAAAAAAATTGCAAGGTACCGAGAGGGTTAAATTGCAAATACTTGCAAATGTTCATGTTTCTGATCCGAGCCTAACCTAACCTAACCTCATGTTTCTAATTGAAGCCAAAGCTAACCTAACCTAAACCAAGAGTGCAACCCTAGGATCCAATCATAGAAAGCGAAAGGACCGGTAATGCCCTCTGTTTGTGTTTGGATACAACATGGAAAAGATAGATACAACAGAGCCCTGCCTCCTCCCCCCCCCCCTCCAACTCATAGTAAACCCAAAAGGAACCCCGATAGAGAACCAAACTATAAAAACGTAGCTACGATCTCCCCCCGCCTTCTGATCCCGGTAGATCTCCTTTCTCTGTCTATGTGGCGTTGTTGTTGTTGTGTTGCATGCAGGAGGCCGGCTAGTACCTGGCGGGATCGCCAGTCCCCCGGGATCTGGCGGCTCGACCGGAAACACCGGGAACTCGAACTCGGCGGCCGCGAGACGCGGCAATCGCAGACTCACGCGCAATGAGAGCCGCTATCATTCCGGTGAGTACATATGCACACACTTGCAGCTGGACGATTAAACAGTCCGAAGCGAGGCGAGGAGATACGTTAACGGGTTCTTAACCCTGGCACGACGGCGACTCTGCATGCATTACCGTTTACTTATTCAAGCTGTAACTGCAAAAAACATGGTTGTCCACCGATTCTCTCTGTCCGCATCTTTTTGTCTCTGTCTCTGTCTCCATCGATCCCTTTCGCAAGCCGGCCTGGTCCTACTACTCGCTGTTACTTTCTCGTTTTCTTCCTTTTTCTTTTTTTTTTTCTCTCTCTCTCTGCTCTCCTCTATTTGTCCTTTTTTCGTTTCCCTTCATCCACTTTTTTGCGCCTTTCTCTCTTTCTCTCTCTGTCTATGTAAAACGATTACAACTCAAGTAAGGAACTTTCTTTTTCTTTTCTCGTTTTTCTCTCATTTCCTCTCGTCTTTCAACCTCTTGCGCTGGCACGCGGACCATAACGAGTGACCAAATTGTATACGATAATTCGTCGCTTTCTTTTTCACTGGATAGAATTACCAAGAAGTATTAAATTTATTATTTGTTTTGCCTTTTGGCTTATACTTGAATATAGTTAAAACCAAGAAAATATTGCAATTTATTTTGTCATGTAAAATCCTAACCTATTTCAAATCAAGATTTTAACCCCTTGCGCTGGCAA